TTCCCTCTGCCTGCTGCTCCCCCTGTTTGTGCTCCCTCTCCGTGTAAGATAAATATTAACAAAATCTTTAAAAATATTTTTTTTCAGGGTGCCTGGGTGGCTCAGTCGTTAAGCGTCTGCGTTCGGCTCAGGTCATGATCCCAGGGTCCTGAGATCGAGCTCCCTGCTCAGCGGAAAGCCTGCTTCTCCCTCTCTCACTCCCCCTGCTTGTGTTCCCTTTCTGACTGTGTCTCTCTCTGTCAAATAAAAAAAATAAGATCCTTAAAAAAAAGAATATATTTTTCAGTGATATTTCTAGTATATGTAAATGTGTAAAAATGTATAAAATATAAAAATGTATAAAAATGTATAAAAAATCATGTTGTGATTGACTAGTTTCATTTCTCATATGATGTGACTAGTTGTTGATGCCATTAGGTATTACACCACATTATTAGTGGTTGCACAGTATCCTATCCTAAAGAAGCAACATAATTGAACTAGTTCTTTATTAATTATCAATGATTCTATTATAAATTTCCTCATAAATGAATAATTTCAAACAGCCACGATTAAAATTTCCATAGACCAGCTTTCTAGGATGAGAAATGCTGGAGCAAACGCTTACATGTAATTTTCAGTGCCAGCCACAGTATTGAATTACAAGAAAAGTACTCAAAAGTCATTCTATTTTGACAAACAAAAAAAGAGACAAACCAAAAAAATAGTCTCTTAACTATAGAGAACAAACTGATGGTTACCAGAGGGGAGATGGGTGGAGGGATGGGGGAAATAGGCAAAGGGAATTAAGAACACACTCATGGGGGTGCCTGGGAGGCTCAGTGGGTTAAAGCCTCTGCCTCCGGCTCAGGTCATGATCTCAGGGTCCTGGGATCGAGCCCCACATCGGGCTCTCTGCTCAGTGGGGAGCCTGCTTCCTCTTCTCTCTCTGCCTGCCTCTCTGCCTACTTGTGATCTCTGTCTGTCAAATAAATAAATAAAATATTTAAAAAAAAAAAAAGAAGACACTCATGATGATGAGTGCTAAGTGATATACAGAATTGTTTTTTTTATATATGTTTCTTTTTAAGATTTTATTTATTTCAGGGACGCCTGGGTGGCTCAGTTGGTTAAGCGGCTGCCTTCGGCTCAGGTCATGATCCCAGCGTCCTGGGATCGAGTCCCACATCGGGCTCCTTGCTCGGCGGGGAGCCTGCTTCTCCCTCTGCCTCTGTCTGCCTGTGCTCGCTCGCTCTCCCTCTGTCGCTGAAAAATAAATAAAATCTTTAAAAAAAAAAAATTAAAAAAAAAAAAAGATTTTATTTATTTCAGACAAGAGAGAGTGAGAGTGAGAGAGAGAGAGAGAAAGAGAGATAGCATGAGCAAGAGGAGGAGCAGAGGGAGAAGCAGTCTCCCTACTGAGCAAGGAGCCCAATCATGACCTGAGCCGAAGGCAGACACTTCGCTGACTGAGCTACCCAGGCAACCCTAGAATTGCTGAATCACTATATTGTACAACTAAAACTAATATAACACTATATGTTAATTACACTGGTATTAAAATAAACATTTTAAAAAATCATTGTGGGGTGCCTGGGTGGCTCAGTGTGTTAAACCTCTGCCTTCAGCCCAGGTCATGATCTTGGGGTCCTGAGATCGAGCCCCACATCAGCTCCCTGCTCAGCGGGGAGCCTGCTTCCTCCTCTCTCTCTGCCTGCCTCTCTGCCTACTTGTGATCTCTGTCAAATAAATAAATAAAATCTTTAAAAAAAATCATTGTATTTTGGTGTCTAATATATGATTGCAGATCATCTGTGCTATTAGGCTTCTTGCATTCCTCAATCCTCTAAAGAAGTACCAAGCTATGACATGATTTTAAACCAAGTGAAGAACTCTCATTTTCAGAAATAGTGAACTCAATAATTCAGAACTAACCTTCTATTGAAGACAACTAAAATAATTCATATGAACTATAAAAAGCTTTCTCCTAAAAACAGAAAAATGTTAACAAGTAACAAGGAATCACCTTGCCAATCATTGGCAAGAGACAATTGCTCAGAAAAAGTGAACAGCCAGAGAGGAGAACTCAGTTTGGGGGCCACTTTTGCAATCAGCAGAGTAGCTAAAAAGCTGAGGGAGCTAACTAAGGTCATGTATGTTAGACTCTCAGGCTTTTCAAGGCAGAGTCAGTCCTGGAAAACCACTCCAAGCTCAGGACTGTAATCCTGAGTGGCTGCACCCTGGAAGTAAGAGTAAACTGAAAATAAACTAGCTTTCTCCTGTGCTTCAGCTCAATTTCAAGTACTCTGGGTGATTCAGAAAAATCTCAAGCACTGAAAATGCTTGTGGTCCTTCTGGATTGCTAGTAGGGCCCCTCACATTTGCCAAAGTCAATGGAAACCCTTTCTGTAAGAAGATGATATTATCCTAGTCTTAACATCACTCCAACAAATTTTTCAAGTACAGTTTTCAGCACACAATCAAAGATAATCAGACATAAAAGGAGACAAAATAAGAACAAGAGCCAGCATAAACACTAGACAATAGACTTTCAACAGTCCAGACAGTGGGGTCATTAGACATAAATCAGAAAAAAAAAAAATCTTAGTATGGTCCGTAGGATAAAAATTGAACTTTTGATACAAAATTGAAAACTAAACAAAACATAAATTGGGGTGCCTGGCTGGCTGAGTCAGTATAGCATGAGATTCTTGATCTCAAGATTGTGAGTACAAACCCAATGTTGGGTGGAGAGGTTACTTTAAAATAAAGCCTTGGGGTGCCTGGATAGCTCAGTTGTTGAGCGTGTGCCTTCGGCTCGGGTCATGACCCTTTTGGTCCTGGGATCGAGACCCACACTGAGCTCCCTGCTTAGTGGGAAGCCTGCTTCTCTCTCTCCCACTCGCCCTGCTTATGTTCCCTCTCTTGCTGAGTCTCTCTCTGTCAAAAAGATAGATAGATAGATAGATAGATAGATAAATAAATAAATAAATGAAGTCTTGGCTATTGTGAGTGCTGTGAATTGTGGAAGACTGATGATTCACAGACCTGTACCTGAAGCAAATAATACATTATATGTTAGTGAAATTTAAAAAAAATAAATACAAATTAAAATAAAAAAATAAAGTCTTGGAGCACTTGGTAGCTCAGTTGGTTAAGCATCTGCCATTGGTTCAGATCATGATCTCAGGGTCCTGGGATCGAGCCCCATGTCCCCTGCTCAGCAGGGAGTCCTCCTCTCCCTCCCCCTGCTCATGCTCTCTGTCTCTCAAATAAATAAATAAAATCTTTTAAAAATAAAAGATAGAATAAAATAAAATCTTAAAAAACAACCACTATAAATTGAAGATTCAAAAGCCAATAAATATAATGGCACAAATTAAGAACTCAAGATATGGGTCTAAAAACAGATTAGATGAAGAAGATAGCTTTGAAGAATCATTCAAAATTAGAAAATTCACATGTATTTAGACTTTTAGTTTCTGTAGGTTATATTATGAATCATAGGTTTGTTTAACATTTTTCAGCTGCTCAGGGACCCTATTTCCCCCAAGATCTTGGCACCTTTCATCAGAGATGACTTTCCTCCTTGTCTGCAAGGTCATCTGTAATACTTGCTGCAGTGTTTCTTATCAGTTCTTTCCAGTCTGAGAAGCCATACCCAGGCTCAGAAGCTATGGACACCAGGGTAGTCTCATTCTCTTCTAGACTCAGCTGTGCTGGTATCCCTTTTTCCCTCCATCTGAACCCAGACCCAAGGTATCTCTGCTCCTGGCTTCACTCTATAACAGATACATCCTTCCTAGGGGAGTGGAATGTCCCTTCCCATTGTCCCAGAGTTGCTCCTCCCTCTCTCAAAGGCAAATCACTCCTTCTTCTCTAGAATACAGCTCTTACCTATTTTCCTGATCAGGGAAGCCTTATCATGTAACTAAAAGTCTTGTCAATCAGGAAAAAAAGGGGGGGGGCGTCCTTGAGGGTGGGGACTGTTCAGGGAGGGAAAACAGCATCCTCTTCTGAGATCAGAAGGCCTGGGCCCCCAGAGGGTCAGAATGGACTTGTGACAGTACAACCTGGCCCACTGTCCCACCCCCATTTTGACCTTGACTGTGGAGTACAGGAAGGCCCTGCACCCAAGGGGATCCACCCTGTCACCTCTGGTGACCTTCAAAGCCTGCTGTAAGGACCCCCATCAGCATGGGGTAGGGCGAAGGGCCCTCATCGAGCAGCCTCAGTACATCCATCCTGCCACTGGGTGGCACTGTGACCCCTCAGAGAGGGAACAGCACCCACTGGGAGACTGACCACAAAAAGGACTGGGAATACCATGCCTGCCCTAATGCGCTGGGCATTGTGGTTACAAAAAAGTATAAGAAATGGTTCCTGCCACCCGTGAGCCCATGGTGGGACAGATAAACACATGGATAATAGATTAATTGCTCCAACAACCCATTCCAGCTGTGGGGCTCAGGGAAGGAGGAGGCACTTGAGCCTTGATGCAGAATTGGCCATTCTAGGACAGGCTGGCTGTGATGGTGCTGACTCCCAGGGCACACCGCACAGATGGGGATGGGGGAGGTTCACAGACTCCCAGCAAGGAATGGCAGGTAGGGAGCTGGGGACTGGGGGCACCTGGCACAGGTGAGGAAGGATGGGCATCTGTGCACAGGGTTTCAGCACCAGCAAGCTCAGGTGCTCTTTGTGTCCATGGAGCACTTAGCTCAGAGATGTGGTGAGGCCCCTGGTGCTCCCACGACTAGAAAATGCTGGAAGATCCTGGCAGGAGCAGAAGACTACTGGCGTCCTGTCCTCTTGCTGTGCTTTTCTCTGCTCAGCCTCCAGTTCCAGCACTGGTCCCATCTTGCTGCAGGATCCGGGGTCAGACACCACAGCTCTCTGGCCTCCGTGACTGTTTGTGTACAAGGGATCTTTCATATGCACAAATATGTTGAAAAATGAAAAAGTTTAGTCAGAAGCCACAGAGCAGGAAAAAATAATCCAAAGAGCATCAAAAACTACGCATGCTGTTTCCTGCTGCCCTGGTCTTTTTGGAGGTGGGGCCACTGGGGAGGAGGACTCCCTTGGCTCCCTTCAGGCCTGGGCAGGACCCAATAGAAAACCAGATTGTAACTATTTGTCCGTGGAGAACAGTCCATCTCCACAAAGTCTGTAAAATTTAATAAGCAGAACTTTGCAGCAAGGAAACAATTTAATATCTGGTATATACATTTTCATTAAAATCTTAAAGATGGAACAAAGACTCTGTTTTCAAATTTCCTATTCAGAAGTTAACTTATTATGGTGTTGAAATCCACATGGAAACAGTTGAACTGAAATGAGTTTCCTAAAACAAAACACAAGTAGTAATGGACTGGCAAGTTTGAGACTAATGACTTCAAACCCTGGATGGTGGGCAAGGCCTCAGCCTGACTCTGGTCTACACGCACAACCACCAGAAGGGGGTGCCCGTTGTGTCCCTTATCCCCCACCCCCTACCCCCCACCCCCACCACCACCATAGGAATCTGGGGACCAGCAAGGGTGCTCAGGGCTCCAGGCCAGTGCAGACAGTACTATTTCAACCAGATACTCCCCACCTCCTTTTGTAATTTACAAATGAAGCTGATAAGAGGTGATAAGGCACTTGGAGACACCCAGTGTTTGTCAGGGAAGAGGCTCCTCCCTACATTCCCCTCTACTAGTGTTCAGCCCCAGAGCCAAACCTGCCCAGCTCAAACTGGGGAACCCAGGTCACCTTTTAGAGAGATTATTCCCCTCCACCTAGTGAAGATTCCAGAAGAGGCACAAGGGGCTTTGCATAGCAAAGTGCATAGCATGCACATCCTTTTCATTAAAAGGTATATTACAGTTCTGTTAAATTACAGTTTTCCAAAGATGCTTTCAAACGCACATTTTACTGCAAACAACATAAATTTTATGTAATTATTTGAATAATGATGAAAGGGAAGAGATGAACCCTGGGGAGAGGTAATGGGGATTAAGGGAGATAAAGTCCTTCCAGTCCCACCCTCTCCTCTGCTTTTGTCCATTTGCTCCTACTCTGTTACTTTTTTAAAGTATAAAGAATCATGCAGCAATAAGTCAAGAAAAGCCTTGGCCCAGGCTTTGGAGTACAACACCACAGTCAGAAGGTATGTAATTACATCCCCAAACTGACAAGAAGTCAGCACACACTAGACTCGGTACAGAAAGCTCCAGCTTTATGCACAGAAAACTGGTCTTGGAGGAGGGGTGATTGAGTTTTCAGAAGATATGATGTGACGCCCACACACACAGATTTATTATCTGCAACTATATGTCCCAGAAGAGTCTTTTGGGAGACATGAGAAGTTCTCTATTCCTAATCTGTCTTGCAGAATGCTTCTAATCTCTTTGCAGAGTATCCTAGCACCCCTGATTTCCTTTTATACATTTTAGGTATGTATTTAGAGCAAGTGATATTGTATCTGGTCTTCCGTCAATCAGAGCTTACGGTTGACTTTGACATTGTCAGTACCTTGGTCATGTATTATCCTCAACACAAAAAGAACATATATAAACTAAATTTTTAAAAATAAGTGGTAAAAGACACGAAAAATACAATTCATAAAAGGTTAAGAAATGCCCGGTGTTAGATGAAACTGTCCCTCACCTTTTATGACTACGCATATAATCTGATACAACTGAGAATAGTTTCAAAATGTTTCAGTGTGTATGCTCTGATAAGCAGTTCCACTTCTCCAAATGTATCCTATGGAAACATTCGCTCAACTAAACAGAGACAGATGTACAAGGATTTTCGTTGTAGCTTTATATAGTATAGGAAATTTATTATAGAAAAACTGGAAAAAAGCATAAAAGTCCCTCAAGAGCAGATTCGGACTTCTCCAAGCCTCAGCCAGACGCGGGGAGCCGAGCCAGCAGGACCGAGCGCCGAGTGCCCCTCTCGCTCCTGCGGAGCCCCTGCTGGGACCCTCTGTGCGACTGGTACCCGGCGCACAGCCCCCTCTTGGACTGGGCCTTCGGGCTGGCCCAGCTGCCCCAGGAGCCCGCACAGTGTTGGTTGGGCCACAGCCGCTGGCAGGGCTATCTGCGCCGGCTGCCTGGGGCGGCGCTGGAGGGCCCTGCCCCGCTGCAGCCCTGGGCTCTGCCTGCAGCTCCGAAGCGCGGCTCGGAGATTTCGCAGACGGTCAACCGCTGGCGTGTCCCTGGACGTCCACCGCTTCGCGCCCAGGAGTTGACAGTCAAAACCAACGACTGCGTGGTGGCGATCACCGGCAAGTACGGAGAGAGGCAGAAGGAGCATGGCTACGTCTCGCGGTGCCTCTGTAGAAAATACACATTGCTCCACATCCCATCCCCCACCCCCCTCCCCTCTGAAACCCTCAGTTCCTTTCCTGGAGCCCACAGTCTCTCATTGTCTCCCTCTCTGATCCCTGCCCCCTTCAGTTTTCCCTTCATTCTCCTTTTGTCCTCTGTTCTATTCCTTCTGCTCCACATATGAGTGAAACCAGATAATTGTCTTTCTCTGCTTGACTTATTTCACTTAGCATAATCTCCTGGGTTCACCCATGAGCATGCCAATGGTGGATAATGGCTGAGTAATATTCCATTGTATGTATGAACTGCATCTTTATCCATCCATCTGTTGAAGGGCACCGAGGCTCTTTTCACAGTTTGTCTATTGTGGTCATTGCTGCTATGAACATTGGGGTGCATATGGCCCTTCTTTTCACCAAACCTGTATCTTTGGGGTAAATACCTAGCTAGTAGTGCAATTGCTGGGTCATAGGGTAGCTCTATTTTTAACTTTTTGTGGAACCTCCATACTGTTTTCCAAAGTGGCTGCACCAGCTCTCATTCCCACCAGCAATGTTTCAGAGAGGATAGGGTGAGGGGTTGGGGTAGCTGGGTGATGGTTAGTAAGGAGGACACACATTGTGATGAGCACTGGGTGTTCTATGCAACTAATGAATCATGGAACACTACATCAAAAACTAATGATGTACTGTATGGTGACTAACTTAACGTAATTAAAAAAAAGAAAAGAAAAAATACATGCTCCTCTCTACGGTGGACCCTACCCTGGTCTCCCCCTCTCCATTCCCTGAGGGCAGGCTCACGCTAAAGGTGCCAATTCCAAGGCCAGCCACCCAGTCATCAGAAGTCACTTTCCCTGGATACCTGGATGCCTCAGTGGGTTAAAGCCTCTGCCTTCGGCTCAGGTCATGGTCATAGGGTCCTGGGATCGAGACCCACATCGGGCTTTCTGCTCAGTGGGAAGCCTGCTTCCCACCCCCCTACCCCCACCTGCTTCTATGCCTACTTGTGATCTCTCTCTCTCTCGGTCAAATAAATAAATAAAATCTTAAAAAAAAAAAAAGTCAGTATCCCTGTCATCTTTAAGGCATCTTAGAGCATGGGGGCCCAGAAGCTGGGACATCAGAGCAGCCTGGAGCCAAGGAATGGGCTTAGCCCTGCTGTCCACCTGTCACCTCTGTAGTCATTACTACCACCCGCCAGTAGAGTTCAAAGCAACAATGACCCCCTCCCAAAAAATGTAGCTTGGTTAAACTATTGGTTAACCATACAATAGTCCATGAGACAATTAAAAAGTATAAGGTAAATCCGTACCTCTTGATATACGCCAAGATGTCCTCAAAATACTGTCAAGTAAAAAAGGAAAGCAGATTAAAAACTAGTATGGTCCCTATGAGTTCTATGGAAACGTATGAATCTATATATACATTGAAAACCTGGAAAGTTACACAGGTTAAATTTGTTAAATTTCCGTGATTGACTAGCTTTGGGATGGATTTAAATTTTCCTGTTCTCAGGGTGTCTGGGTGGCTCAGTCAGTTAAGTGTTTGCCTTTGGCTCAGGTTCTGATCCTGGGGTCCTGGGATTGAGCCCTGTATTGGATTCCCTGCTCAGCCGTGAGCCTGCTTCTTCCTCTTCCTCTCCCCCTCCCCTGACTTGTGTTCTCTCTTCCCTCTCTCTCTCTCAAATAAATAAAATCTTTTTTAAAAAGAAAATAAAAGTAATAAATTGTCCTGTTCACATCCGGATTTTTTAAAAAAAACTTCTATAATATTTCTTAGTATTATGATCAGCTAAAAAAAAAAAATAGGATTCCCAATTGGGGAGAAAACAATTATTCCAACTCCTGAATCTTTGAACATTTTATGAGTTATCTACCTTCCTACAGGTCAGGGAGGAAGCCAATTATATCATCTCAATCTTATACATGGGTACCTTGAACCCCCAAAAGTATAGGGATCCTGGCCAGGATCACACAGACAGAAGCACATGTTCCCACCTCTTCAACTAGATGTTTCACAATGAGCTTTGTTTTGTTTTGTTCTTTCTGGCAGCCATACTTTCTGCCCCAAGGATCTTCAGGCAGAGCTATGCTGGTATCCTGTATTTTCCTGTAACAAACACCGTCAATATCCTGCCTGTCCCCTCTTAACCTTTATCATTTCATTGCACACGAGCCTGACTTCTGAATGCCAGCAGCTGTAGATAATTGCCTGACAGCACTTTCTGGCTGCTGGAAACCACTTTGCCTTCAAAACAGTCCAGAAGTGACAGAGAGCTAATCCCTCCAGGTAGCAGCACTCTACTTAATCACAGGCAGCAGCTGCTCTATAAATACCCCCATGCCCTCACACCTCAGGGGGCTAACACTGCAGCAGGCATTCTACACTGGCTTCCCAAGTTCTGTAGTGGGACTGACCTCCAGATGCCTACAATAGTAACCTGCTTGGTAACATACCCTGTATTGACTTCCTTCCCACTTTTCCACCTCCTTACTAGCATTTCTGGGAATCCCTTCCCAAATGGAATGCTTTCACTGAAATCCTTATCTCAATGAACAATCTTGGGAAAACTGAACAGCCACATGCCAAAGAAGGAAACTGGCCCAGAATCTTATACCATACACAAAAATTAAATCCACTCAAAATGGACTGAAGATTTGAATGCAAGTCATGAAACCATAGAACTCCTAGGAAAAAAATACAGGAAGTAAGCAACTTGACATTGGTCCTGGCGATCATTTTCTGGATTTGACTCCAAGAGCAACAAAAACAAAATAAACATGTGAGACTACATCAAACTAAAAGCTTCTGCACAGCAAAGGACATCATCAACAGAACAAAAAGACAGGGACACCTGGGTGGCTCAGTCAGTTAAGCATCTGCCTTTGGCTCAGGCCACGATCTCAGGGTCCTGGGATAGAGCCCCACATTGGGCTCCTTGCTCAGTGGGGAACTTGCTTTTCCCTCTCCCCCTGTTTTTGTCCTTTACTTCTCTCTGTCGAAAAAACAAACAACTTTTTAAAAAATGAAAAGACAACTTATTAAATAAGGGTAAAAACTTTCAAATCATTTATGTATATGATTTTATCCTAATATATATATAAATGACCTCTGATAAGGGGTAAATATCCAAAATATACAAGGAACTCTACAACTGAATAACAAAAAACAATCTAGTTAGGAAATGGGCAGAGGAATTGAATAGGCATTTTTCCAAAGAAGACATACAGATGACAAACAGGTACATGAAAAGATCCCCCAAATTGGGCACCTGGGTGGCTTAGTTGGCTGAGTGTCTAACCTTAGTTCAGGTCATGATCTTGGGGTCCTGAGATCAAGCCTGGTGCCAGGCTTTGGGACCAGCAGGGAGTCTACTTCTCCCACTCTCTCTGTCCCTCTGCCCCACCCTCTGCTTGTTCTTTCTCTCTCTCTCAAATAAATAACATCTTTAAAAAAAAGAAAAGATGCTCAAAATCATTTATCAAGAGGGAAAGGCAAATCAAAACCATAATGAGATATCCCCCTTATACCTGGTTATTATCAAAAAGACAAGAAATAATAAGTGTTGGCAAGGATGTAGAGAAAAGGGAACATATATACACTGTTGGTGGGAATATACATTCATATGGTCACTAGGGAAAACAGTATAGAAGTTCCTCAAAAATTAAAAATAGAACTACCATATGATCCAACAATTTCACTTTGGTAAATTTATCTGAAGGTAACAAAAACACTAACTTGAAAGACACATGCACTCTCATGTTCATTGCAGCATTACTTACAATAGCCAAGACATGGAAGCAAGCTAAGTGTCCATCAATAGATGAATGGATAAACAAAATGTGATATAAATAATGGAATATTATTTAGCCATAAAAAAGAAAAAGTCTTGCCATTTGCCATCAACAACATGGATGGAACTTGAAGACATCATACTAAATGAAATGTCAGATAGAGAAAGACAAATACTATATAATTTCATTTATAAGTGGAAGCTAAACAACAAAACAAAACAAACTCAAACTCACAAATACAGAGAACAGATTAGTGGTTGCCAGAGGTAGGGGTTGGGGAGGGAGGTGAGATAAGTGAAGGGGGTCGAAAGGTACAAATTCCCAGTCATAAGACAAGTCCTGGGGAGAAGATGTGCAGCATGATGGCTAGAATTAATAATACTGTATTGTATTAGAAGTTGCTAAGAAAGTCGATCTTAAAATTGTCATCACACACAAAAATCTGCAACTATGTGTGGTGACGGATGCTAACTGGACTTCCTGTGATCATTTCACAATACATACAATATCGACTCACTACACTGTATACCTGAAACTAATTATATTATGTCAACTATCTCAATTTTTAAAAATAAAATGAAAAAGAAAAGACAGAAACAGAAGAGTGTAAATAACATCCTACCTGTTTTTGTAAGAAAAGGGGGGAGGATGGGCACCTGGGCGGCTCAGTCATTAAACGTCTGCCTTCAACTCGGGTTATGATGCCAGGATCCTGGGATGGAGCCCTGCATCAGGCTCCCTGCTCAGCGAGAAGCCTGCTTCCCTATCTCCCATTCCCCCTGCTTGTGTTCCCTCTCTTCCTGTGTCTCTATCAAATACATAAATAAAATCTTTGAGGAAAAAAAGGGAGAGAAGAACTTGGTTGGCTCAGTTGGTTGAGCATCTGCCTTTGGCTCAGGTCATGATCTCAGGTCCTGGCATTTTGCCCTGAATGGGGCTCCATGCTCAGCAGGGAGTCTGCTTGTCCTTCTCCCTCTATATACTATATTAGTTTCAGGTGTACAAAATAATTATTTAATATTTTACATATTGCAAAGTGATAATCACAATAAGTCTAGTTAACATCCATCAGCACATATAGTCATAAAACTATTTGTATTGTGATGGGAACTTCTTTTTTATTTTTTAAGATTTACTTATTTTTTAAAAGATTTTATTTATTTATTTGACAGAGAGAGAGATCACAAGCAGGCAGAGAGGCAGGCAGAGACAGAGAGGGAAGCAGGCTCCCTGCTGAGCAGAGAGCCCGATGTGGGGCTTGATCCCAAGACTGTGAGATCATGACCTGAGCCAAAGGCAGAGGCTTTAACCCACTGAACCACCCAGGCACCCCAAGATTTATTTACTAATTTGAGAGAGAGAGTGCTTGTGTGGAGGGATAGCAGGGGAAGGGGCAGAGGGAGAGGGAGAGAGAAACTCAAGCAGATTGTACACTGAGCACAGAGCCGGAAGCTGGGCTTGATTCTAGCACCCTGGGATGACCACCCAAGCAGAAACCAAGAGTTGGAGACTCAACTGACTGTAGCACCCAGGTGCCCCATGATGGGTACTTCTATGATCTACTCTCTTAATAACTTCCCAATATGCAATACAGTATTATTAGCTGTAGTCACCATTCTATATACTACTTCCTATATTTACTTTTACTTGCATAAATAACCACTGGAAGGATTCGCAACAAAGAAATAAAAGAAAGTGGTTCTCTATAGAAGGCAGATGGGGAGGAGCACCTGGGTGGCTCAGTTAGTTAAGTGTCTGCCTTCATCTCAGGTCATGATCCCAGGATCCTGGGATCAAGCCTCTTATCAGGCTCCATGCTCAGTGGGGAGTCTGCTTCTCCCTCTCCACCTGCCCCTCCCCCTGCTCATACTCTCTCTCTAATAAATAAATTAAAAATCTTTAAAAAAAAAAAGGAGAAAGCAGGTGGGGAGGTAATGGGCTGGATGGGGGCTTAAGTGCAACCAAGACTTTTAAGCACAAACTTTTTAATACTGTTTTGATATTTGAGAGAAGTGTTACCTTTATGAAAAAGTAAATTACAAAAACCAAACAACAATGGTATCATCAAATCTGGTAAGGATCCAATAAAATGATTTTACACACCCACACAGCCATCTCCATCCAAGCAAGCATCACTCATTGCCAACATCAGAGGTCATTTTTCAGTTGCTTTTTAAATTTTTTTTTCTTTAAATCTTCTGGAACTCTGTGATGCATTGCAAGGAAATGTAATGTCTGGGTAGTGACTAGTTCAGTAACACAGGCTGGGAGAAATCTAGGTGAAGATGGGCCAAAGGGAGCTTTGACTTTCTTTTAAGGCTGCCAAGCATATGGACTTGTCTATGACTCTTGGTGGAAG